GAGAGGGAACTGGGCTCCGGACACACAGAGGGACAAACACGGGGCACCCGCTTGACCTTCTCCATGGACAGATCTCACAAACGTACCACGGTTTCAAAAAGAAGTGGAGTCCTAAGACTCACCATTCTCCAACCCACATGCTTGTTACCTCAGTTAAAAGAAAGGAGGGACGAAGGGAGAGAGCTTGCACATAAAGACCGAGAACGCCAGCTCCTCCACAGCACGGGGGAGGTGGGCCGGGTGGTGCCCCCGCCTGAGCCCAGCGCCCGCCCACGCAGTCGCGTGCCCCGGAGGGCCCGCCGCAGGCCCAGGCACTGACCTTGTAGACATGCCTCCAGTTCTTGCCGTGGTCATTGAGCCGCTTCCAAATCATGCTCATGATCTCGGAGAAGGCAACAACATTGTAGGTGAGGTCAGCGATCTCAGACATCAGGGAGCTGGATGGACCCCAGGGGTCGTTGCTTGTGGCTTCTCGGACCTTGATCTCGGCCTCTGAGTAGTTGTGGACTATGTTCTTCATCTGGCGCCGCAGTGACGAGGTCGACATGGTGGCAGGCAGTGGCGAGGGCGGCGAGCCCCCTGGGGTATGGCGAGATGGAGGACTCAAGAAAGACAGCGGCAGGAGCTGGTGGGTCACCACATCTGAGAAGGAAAGGCCCTTTGGAGACACAAGCAGGACCTGGGGCTGCACGGCCTGCACCCATACCCTTGTGGGGCTCCTCACTGCCCCTGGGGCCTAGAAGGCTCTGGCCCTTGTTAAACCCCATCTTAGTCACCCGGTCCATCTTTCAGTTCCTCAAACATGCCCAGCTCCTTCCTGCTTGGGGGCCCGGCTCAGTGAGGCAGGGAGGCAGAGTGTGCATTGGGAGAACCACAGGCTGGGGGCAACGCAGTGCAACGTGTCCCAGCCGGCTGCCTTGCTCGGGGGGCCAGGGACTCCTGCACCTCAGTTTTCTCCTCGAAGAAGTGGGAATCGTTCTGTAACCCTGGGAGCTGAGAGAACTCGGTGCGTGGGAAGTGCGCTATGAACGTGGGTGGTCATGAGATGGTCACCTTGCTCTTCCTCTCCCTCACCACCCAGATCACGCCCACTCACCCTGAGAACTCTGTTGAAGCGTCCCAGATTTTACACACTCAAACACCGTGGTCACTGTTTCCCGGGGGCCCCATGGGTAGACTGAGGCACCCTCGTGATTTTATACTCGTCTGTCTGCCCTTGTGGCTAAGGCCGGCCCACGAGCCCCATGGGGACAGAAACCACATCTGTATGGATATGAATTTTCCCATCAGAGCAGCTGCCCCCAGAAGAGCCATTCAATAAACCACCGGAAGGAAGGGAAGGAGGGAGAACAGGAGAGACCTCTGGAGCAGGAGTGGAGAGGGCAGAATCTGAGACAGAAACAAGGATACACACGGAGACCATAAAAGGGAACAGAAAGACAAGAGGCAGGCAATGCCAGAGGGACAAGGTGTCCCAAGGGTGGGGGAGCTGGAGGCTCAGGGAAGAAGAGATAAGGACGAGCAGAGGGGCTGCCTGGGTCCCAGCCGTGTGCCAGGGGCTCGCTGACCAAGAGATGCCCATTATCCCACCCAACGCCACCAAGAGCATTCTTTTTTTTTTTTTTTTAAAGATTTTATTTATTTATTTGACAGAGAGAAATCACAAGCAGGCAGAGAGGCAAGCAGAGAGAGAGGAGGAAGCAGGCTCCCTGCTGAGCAGAGACCCCGATGTGGGGCTTGAACCCAGGACCTGGGATCATGACCTGAGCCGAAGGCAGCGGCTTAACCCACTGAGCCACCCAGGCGCCCCCACCAAGAGCATTCTAACTGATGAGAAGACGGGCGCTCATGGAGGCTAAGCACTTCCACCAAGGTCGCACACCACGCACAGCAGCACAGACTGCACCTCGGGCTCGGACGCCCGAACCTACACTTTTAAACCAACCTGTGCTGAGAGTAAGGTGATGGGAAGAAACAAGAGGACGGGAACCAGGCAGACGGGGACGATCACAGCAAGCAGCCCTAACCTTGTGCCAGGCACTCTTCCCCGTGGTTCACACACAGTGACTCATTAACTGCTCCCAACTCCATGATTCACAGCACCTCACAGGCGAGGAAACTGAGGCACAGCAAGAGCCACTCCCCTGCCCTGGCTCCCGAGGAAACTCGGACCGCCACAGTCCACAGCCACACCAACGAGCCCTCCACAATGTACCTAAGTCCTGGGACAGGCAGCGGGCCCCAGCTGTGAACTCAGGCTGGAAAGCGGGGCACTTGGAGACACACGTGAACAGCTGGAAAGACCCGGTCAGGGGGCCGAGCAGGCCAGCCAGACACACTGAGAGGAAGAGCTGGTGGGACCCACACAGAGGACACAGAGGGACAGGAACGAGACAAATGAGGGGAGAAAGAAGCGCAGAGAAACCGGGGCAGAGGTGCTACCCAGAGACACGGTGAGCAGAAGTCACAGGAAACAGTGATGGAAACAGGGCAGGCAGTGAGGCAGACGACAACGAGGAAAGACTGAGACCCTGAACGAAGAGAACAACCTGATGCTACAGACTTACAGAGGAAAAACCAAGACAAAACAGAGAATATGTAAAACTGGGGCCCAAATCCTGGCCAAAAGCTACCAACAGGGCAACCTCCTTGAGACTGAGTTTGAGAGACTCTGACACGAAGGAAAGAATTCCTACCCGGCAGGTTCGGGGATCAAATAAGATGGGTACATAGGGTGCGTGGGGCCCTGCCCCACAGAGAGGAGGAGCTCCTTGAGGCTGCCGCCCATTATTATCAGACCCGAAGAGCATTTCCCAAAGGGTGGTCCCAGAAGACGCCCCGCTAGAACGCTGTGAAATTGTACCAAAGTGCCCTACAGAACAGTCGATGGGGCACCAAAGCTAAAACTCCCAGTATCGCTTAAAATGAGACCAAGCTTTTCAAAATAAACGGTCTCAAACACAAGGATCTGGTTAAACAGAGGACGACAGGGCAAAACTCCGCGAGGGGTGTTCAGAGGCCTGACGGCACACAGCGTGGAAGGGGAAATCTGGGGGCAATAACGGAATCCGGAGCGGCCAGCAGCTGATGCAGCGCCAGCCGGCGCCGGGCGTTCACCGTACCACCTCCGTGAACACGCACCGCCCTGCCGTGAGAAGCTACCCGAGGAACACTACCGGCCGGCACGCAGTGGGCCTGACTGCAGAACCGGGCTCCGGACCACCGCACCGGAGACCCGAAAACCTGCGCGAGGGGCACGTCCCAGACCGAGCCGCGCGCTCGCGCAGAGGACCCCAGGCTGGCGGGGACGTGCGCGGGGACGGCAATGAATGAGAAACGGGGTAAGAGGATGCCCGGAGTCCCCGGCAACTGCAGACGTGGAAGCCCGCGGGGAGAGAGAGGCAGAGAGCAAGAGGCGCACAGCCGCCACCCCGACCACCGCGCGCCGACACCGGGCACAGCAGGCGCATGGGCCCCCGCAGCACCGACGCCCGGGCGCAGGCCAGCGGGCGCCCGATGCCGGCCGGCCGGCCTCACACACACAAAGGCCGCGGGGCTGAGCCGGGGGCGGTCACACGCGACGGACGCCCGAGCGGCCTGGCCCGCCGCGCCCCCGGCCCGCGCTCACCTCGGCCCCTCACGCCGGGCTCCGGGGGGTCATGGCGGGCAGCCCCCTGCCCCCGCTCAGCCTCGGTGTCGCGGGGCGCGCGCCTGGCTGCGGGCGGCGGACGCGGAGGCTCACTCGGATGCACGCGCGGACACACGGAAAGGCCGCACGCCGACGGCCCCGCCGCCCCGGCGCCCGAGAGGGGCGCAGAGGGCCGGGCGGGGGGGGGAAAGGGAGCCGCCGAGCGGACGGGAAGCAACCGAAGGCAGCGACGGACCGGAAGCGGAAGTGGCGGTGCGCCCCGCCCTCCGCACCGTACCCCGCGGCCCCGTCCGCAGCGAGCCTGCGCAGCCGCCACTTCCGCAGCCCCGCTCGCCCTGCATCGTCACTTCCGGCGCGCGGGCACTGCGCTCGGGCGCCGCCGTGAGGTCCCGAGGGACAGGCGCGGACAAGTACAATTGCAGGCCTCAGCGGGGCGGGCCGGCAAGCGCGGCCGAAGCAGGCGGGGAAGGGACCGCGTCGTCGCCAGCCCGCGCGGCCACTCCGCCCCCAGCACCCCGCGGCGTCCGAGAGAACTCCCCCTCTCTCCTGGGGCAGGAGGAAGCAGCCGGCAGCCCCCTCCCCCCACGGCGCCGCGGCCTCCGCGCAGCCACGCCCCCGGCCTCCGTCCCCCCCCCCCCCCCCCGCGCGGAGCCGAGCCCAGCCGGCGGCCACGCTGGCGGGGTGTGCCCCGTGGGGCGCGCCAAGGACGCCCGGGCCGGAGGTCAGAGCGGTGGGGCCCCGGGGAACCGGAGTGGGGCAGGGGTTACACACACCGGACACAGAGCAGCTCCGTAAAGTAAAATACAACAAAATGTTTAATGAGCAAATTCGTCTTAGCAAATATGAAACTGCCACAGAGAGAAGAGGAACGGGGCCACGGGGCTGGGGCGCAGGTCAGGGAGACTAAAGAGGAGAGTCAACTACGTAAGAAACCAGGGAGGGCTCGGGGACCAGAGGCCAGGAGGACGGGAGCTGTGGTCCTGGAAAGGGAGAAGGCAGGGCACCGGGCGGACAACAAAATTCAAAATAGTTTGGCCATAAAATATAAACACACTATGTTTCTACAGTGGGGAAAGGGAGGAAGAGGGGAGAAGGGAGAAGAAGAGAGGCTGTTCTGGGGAGGGGCTGTGGGGGTCCTACCCCGCCCTGCTGTGCACCCCCTCCCCACCCCGACCCCTTCCCTCTGTCTGTGGGTGCATGTGTCTGTACGGGCCTGTGCGCGCACTTCCCCCATTGCCCTCCCCACCCCTACCCCCCCCCCCCCCCCCCCCCAGTTGCTGCCATTCCAGTTGCTGCCGGCTGTCATTCGGCTGTCACTCCTCTGCCCATCTTCTTCAGAGGGGGAAAAGAGGGGGGGCGGGAGGGGGAGAAGCCCCCAACCAACCCTGCCCCCACCCTCCCCCTCCACCTCTACCAGAAGTCCCGGCGGTGGTAAGAGTCGGGGTCACAGTATTTTGTGACAACCACTCTGTTGGCGAACTTGCGCCCCGTCAGGCCCTGCATGGCTTTCTGGCAGTCAAACACAGAGGTGAACTCCACGAAGATCTGTGGGAGTAAAAGACAGGTTGTGAAGACAAGGTGGTCTCAGCCCGGGAGGATGAACCAGCTCAGCCACAGCAACCAGCCACCATCTCCCCAGAAATCTGCAGGAGAGGGAGAGAGGGCCTTGCTGCAGGTCTGGGAGAATTGACCCGAATGTCCCCCAGAACCCCAGGATCAAAGAACAAGAGTGTACAGAGCAGAGCCATGTGGAGGCATGGGAGAGTGACTGGAACAAGAGCCACATGGAACAGCAGCGAGCTCCCCAAGGAAAGAGGGGCACCTGTGTTCAGGGTCTCCCCTGTGCCACACACCTCGCTGGGCTTTCCCCAAGGGCCATGTTCTCACCAGAAAACAAATAAAGAAGTTTAAGAAAAGAAAAAAAAAAAAAAAAAAAAAGGGGGGGGGGGGGGGGGGGGGGCGCTCCTGGGTGGCTCCACTGGTTGGGCCACTCCCTTTGGCTCAGGTCATGATCCTCGAGTCCCAGGATCAAGTCCCTCATCAGGCTCCCAGCTCCACGGGGAGTCTGCTTCTCCCTCTGAACTTCTCCCCTCTCACGCTCGCTCTCTCAAATAAATAAAATCTTAAAAAAAATGACCTTGTGAAATTTCTCATCTTGTTTTAACCACCAGTTTACAAGGGAGTGGGCGAGGGGGAAGATAATACCAACCTAATTCACAACACGGGACTTAAGACAAATGCCCCGTTGCTTCAACAAAATGCCTTGAGCATTATTATGTGCAACTGTTAAGTTTTAAGAACATTCTGAATAAAATTGCATGGACCCTTGTTTGGATGCTTAAACCAAGTTTTTAAAAAGACACGTGAGACCGGGAAATCTGAACACAAATTTAAGTAAATCCTAAGAATAATTTTGTTACTGTAATAATGATACTGTAGTTTCATTACGATTTAGAAGTTAACTGTTGAAAGTTTAGAGCAGTAGTTCTCAACCAGCACAAATGTGTCCCCCAAGCAGTATTTTGCAATGTCTGGAGATGTTTTTGGCTGTCCACAGGAGGGGGTATTAGTGCTGCCATGCAGGAAGAGCCCCCATCTACCCGGGGAGAAGAGGCCAGGAACGGGGCTACACATCCAAACGTACACGGCACAGGCCTCGAAGCAAGACTTACCAGGCACCAAGTATCTGTAGCTCAGATATTAGAGAAATATACCTGACTACTACAGGTAAAATATAGGAAATGTGCTTTAAACTATTTTAGGAAAAAAAGTTGGGAAGCTAAATACAGAAATAAAGAATAACAAGCTACAGGTAAGTTGAAGCTGGGTGATGAGGCACTAGGATATACATACACTGTAACAGAACGGAAGTGACCCACAGTACTAGGTCACTATGTTACTTGTACTTTCACGTATACTTGAAAAGAATGACAAAGTCTAAAACAAAAGATGATCCCAGACACCAGGCAGGTCTTCCCGGTCATCCTTCCCGCAAATACTGACTCAGTCCCTCAGGGCCAGGCTCCATCCCAACGCCCACGACGGCACAGAGTGTAACTGACATGCCAGGAATGAGGGCTTCCGCCACACCGTACCAGTGAGGACTGGGCAGGAGAAGGGGGGGATGCTGCCCATCCCCCCAACACTGCTCCCAATCCTGTCCCTTGGCCCCCGACACTCACTCCACTGCTCCCTGGGCAAGCTTATCCAGCTGACACCAAAACAGGGATCAGCGTGTTGGAAGACGCCTAAGTTTCTATCCGACCTCATGCCCGGAACACAGTTCTGTCCAGCTCACTGCTCCACACATCTCTGCCGAGGTCTTAGGACCTCAGACTGCCCGCCAACACTGTTCCCCAACACTGACCCCCACCCCCAAACCTGCTCATCTCCCCTGCTTCCCACCTGCCATTTCCACCAGTCACCGAAGCCAGGAGTCAGAGCAGCTTACTCGACTCCTATTCCCCCGGCTCCAGCACACCCCAGTCAACCACCAGGATCGGGGTATTTACAGGTACCGGGCCTCTCAAATCCAGAGTCCACTCCACCCTCCGGCTGCAACTTTCTCTCAGGGTCACCCTCTTCCAACTGGCTAACCACAAGCTGTGACCATCAGCTCGCGAAGCTCGAGAGAGCACACCTCCAGCACCTCTGCCCCCCTCTGCGTTCCCACGTCTGGAGCGTAAGCAGCTGGGCTAGCATCCCTGACCGCATTTACCTGGTTACGGGACCTCTCTCCATGCCAGGCAACGACCACACTCCACACCTCCCAAAGGCTTTCTTCTCACTCCAGGGAACACCCAACATTTTTCTAGGATCCACAGAGGCTGACAAGACCTGCCGTACTGGGCCCCAGCTCCCAACCTCAGACCTCCCCTCCCACTTTCTGCTTACACTGCACGAGCCTTGCCGCTGTCCCCACATATACCGGGCTCCTACCCCAGGGCATCTACGCTCACTGGACTCCCTGCTCAGAACCCTACCTGCCTGCTGGGATGATCTGGTGTCACTTGGGCCTACCAACGCCACCTCCTGACCTTGACCTTCCTGTCTTAAGAAGAGCATCGGAGCAATTCTTCTCCCTTCCCAGCTGCTGAGTCAGCACACATGTTGTCTCTGACAAGACAGGCCCCAGGACTGCCCTGCTTAAAGGCCTGAATCACTAGCTGAGTGCTTAGAGGACCTAAGTCCCCACCCCTACCCTGTGCCCCAGGAGGGCTCAAAGTGCTTGCACCTGGCACAGTGCCAGAAGTGACAGGATTCAGTGGCCTGGGAAACCGGACTGCAAGAATTGGAACTCTGACCCTGTGGCCTCAATGCCGTTAAGGGTCCAGAGGGGCCGCACAGGTAAGCTTAGTGAGCACCTGGCCAGCAGAAGATAAAAGTGGGTCTGCTGCCATCGTGACTATTTTTAGCACTTTTCCCCCCACTGCACAGACAAAACCAAACCACCTGCGTAAGGGGACACGACCGAGCCCAGCAGTGCAGGGCCACGCTCTGGGGGGCTCCACACGCATCTGGGGTGCAGCAGCCTCGTACACTCGTGGACAGGGGGCAGGGGCGGGGCGCAGGCACCCATGCACACCTTTCCGCAGCCGGGCACTTCGACGCCGTCCACAGGCCGGGGGATCTCAATGGACTTGACGAGCCCATACTTGCTGCACTCATCCCGCACATCCTCCACAATCTCCTCGTACTCCTCGTCGTCCAGCAGCTCCTCGGGCAGCACCATGTTCATGAGACACAGCACCTCCGTTGGGTGGCCGCCCATCTGCACCTGGGAGCTCATGAGGCCCGGCACTTGCAGGGTCACAGGGGTCTGGTTGATAGTGCTCTGTGGGGAACAGGCAGGGGGGCCGTCATGGCCAGGGCCACACAGCACCCCCAGAGGCCTACCCAGAGAAAACCACACCCTGCCCCTGACGGCCCATGTGTCCACTGTCAGTGCGGCCCAAAAAAGCCAGAGCCACAACTTACAGGGACCTGCGCCCAGCCCCTTCCAGTCCCTCCCCACCCCCAGGTGTCCCTCTAGCCAATGGAAGATGACGTGCCGGGGGGCTCACCAGCGTGGCATTCTTGGCTCCCACACTTGCCCTCTGGACGAGCAGTTTCTTATCCCCCAGCTGCATCCCATTCAGCCCCGCGATGGCCTGTGTAGGGAGGATGGGGCGAGGGGGTGCAGTGAAGAGGTGCGGGTCAGGGGCCAGGCGCCTGACACCTCCCTCCAAGCCCCAACAGCCCAGAGCTGGGCATTGGTGTGGAGAGCCTGGAAAGAGGTGGAACCGAGGGAAAGGGCCGAGTCCCCTGGCAGGGCCCTGCTGCAGGCTGGCCACCTCCCTCCCACCCCGAGGAGGAAAGCCCTCAGTGCAGACGCAGAGCAGGGGGAGGCAAGGGTGGAGGCAGCAGGGCCGGGGACCCGGGGCTCACCTGATCTGTAACGTTGATGTCCACGTACTCACAGAAGGCGTAGCCCTTGGAGAGCCCCGTAGCACTGTCCTTAACCAGGTTGAAGGCCTTGAGAGGCCCGAACGATGTCAGCAGCTCTTTCACCTGCGGCAGGGCCGCAACTCCATGAGGGCTGGTTTGGGCAAAGACTGGGAGGGGAGAAGCCAGGAGGAGGCAAGGGGTCTACCTGGTCATCGTTCAGGTAATTGGGTAAGCCCCCGATGAACAGCTTGTGGGCAGAGTCCGGGACCACCGTGGACACAACTCCTGGGGAAAAAGGGGAGTACACAGGCTTTGGTTTCCAGCACGAGGTCTCTCCCCAGAGCCCCGGGGCGAGTGCACAGGGATAGGCCCGTTATGCCTGCCGTGACAGCAACAGGCCAGCGTCCCACCATCCACTCGCCCGCACCAGCCGCGGAGGCCCAGCACATCTGTCTCGCAAACCCCCCAGACCAAGACTCACACTGGCAGCTTTCCGCAGGACACACTGCGCCAGACCAGCGTGCACGGCAGCAGTCCCCCTCAGCAGCCACAAAGACACAAACTCACACCCAAACCTGCCAACTATAGCAGCTCCTATGGGCTCGCACCCTCCCTGTGAGGCGTCAGGATGACAACTCCCCGCCCCTCCCCCATCAGCCAGACCCCAACTCCAAGCCCTTTCCTCCCACCTGATGTTCACATCCACTCTCCCACTGGGACTCGTGGCCCTTTCCTCTGTGGTCCTGTACCTTTTGCAACTACAAGCAAGTCCTTCCCTGTCCTGTTGTGTGTGAAATCAGAAAGGCCTGAGGCTCCAGGTCCGGGAGGGCAGAGACATGCCTGATTCACACAGCACCGTGACTGCAGAGGCCAGCGGGGACATCACAGGGGGCTCGTGTCCACCAAGCACTTTTAATGGCCACTACGTGTCCACCCCCATCATGCCATCTCCACTCAACTTTGGATTCAGAGGCAAGTGCCTCCCAGGTGGCTCAACCCTTTGGTCCCACCAGCTTCAATTCCTGGAGGCTTCCTATGAGCTGTGAGCGACCCAAGCCCCAGCTGGCTGTCTGGGCTCTGTGTTAGAGAAAAACCTCAGCCACCCAGCCCGACCAGCCCCAGGCTTTCCAATGGCAGCATGGCCTCGCCCACCTCGGCAGTCCACACCACCCGCCCTCCCCATCTCCTCCTGACCTAGGAAGGAACAGGTGGGACGGAGGACGGGAGAAAGCACCAGACGAGTCACTGGACTCGAAGAAGGGTGCCCCCTCCTCTCCTACCACCACCCCAGCCACTTCAACAACCAGAGCCCAGCTGTGTCAGGGTGGGGCCGTGGGGTGCAGACCACCGAGGCCCCCTATGTCCAAGGCAGGACGAGCAGAGGCCCCAGGCCAGACACTACACAGACTCCCTGGACCCACTGCCTCGGTGCCCCCCAGGGCCTCACCCATGGTTAAGACAGCACAAACTAAGGGCGAGAAAGAACGCTCTTCCCGGGATCCACGCACGCAGAAAGAGCCATCCCTACAGCCCCTGCGACCTGTGACTCCACAGGCGGTGCTCGCCGCGCTGAGGCACCATCACTCTGTACACCGGCAGACGAGGCTGGGGTGCAGGTCCGGTTGCGCCAGAAGGGAAGGAGCAGAGCCTCATGCACCTCAGCAGGCTTGTACCCGCCAGTCGTGCACCCCAGGGAAGGACATGGTGCTGAAGGCACCAGGGTTGGGCTCCCTGGGTTCCAACCTGGGGAGCAGCCCCAAGTGAGGCTCCCCTGGGCCTCACCGTTCTCATCTACGCAACAAGAACAGTCCGGCCTGCGACAGAGAACGGGAACCACCCACGGGGAGTACGCACCCGAAACGGGGCCTGAGGCCAGGCCAGCACCAGGGAGAAGGGAGGGCCACAGTGACCCTGAGGACAAGATGATTTTGAAGCCAGGAAAACGAGCCACACAAGGTCACACAAACAGAAAAGGGGGGTACAAAGCAGCCCCAGTGCCCAAACATCAAGCCCCTGGGCACCCAACCTCCTCTCCCAGCACAACGGGAGGGCTCCTCGCTGACCTCAAACCTACGGTCTCTGGAGAGCCACCCGGCACACGCCCGTCATCCTCTCTCTGGAGGGCCACCCAGCACACACCAGCTCAGCAATCTCTCTTGTACCTGGAGTGTCACTTCCTCCTACCGCGCACACACCACTGGACCTGGCTGAGACCTCCGCTGAGAGAGTGGGACTCGGCCCTGCACTGAGCAGGGAGCCTGGCCTGGCAGTGGCGGGTGGTCAGGGCTGAGCTCAATTTACACCCTGAATGACCATTCGGCTTTCCTGCCTCCAGAGCACCTCCCACTCTCCCTGTTCTCCCCATCGAGGCTTCCCTCTGGTCTTAAGAGGAGGACCAGGATCCCACCGCCACCCCCGAATAACTAGGCCTGGCTTCGGTGGGAACGAATGTTTAAGGTTTCACGACCCCAGTGGATACATGCTTAGTCTCAGTTCGACATGCTTCCATTAAGGTCAGGAAGTCGCCTTCCTGGGTCCTGAATTGTTCCTCTCCCAACCAAGAACGTCAGCTGAACTTCATCCCGTGGTTTTTCCCCGTTAAACTCTTTATATGACAAAACTAACTGCTTTTTTAAATGAAAATTAGAGATCAGAACACAAGCTTTACTACAGAGAAACACAACCAGAGAACGCTTATTAACCTAGAGACCAGATTCCACCTACCGCCACTTCCGGCCACGCTCCCAGAACGGAGCAAGCCGCCCGGGCACTGGGACTGTCGCTCTCAGGCTCTCTGGGCGGGCAAATCCCGAAGCGAGTACAGTAAGCGATCTTTCAGTGGCTTCATCACACCAACAGCCCCTCTAAAAAGGGGCCCATGACTCTGGGAAGGCCACCCCAAGCGGCTGTTCCCGGGTCTAACGGTGGCCTGGCCGTGCTTTCCTCCCGAGTGAAATGGGAACCCAGTGTCCACACGGGGCCAGCACACCGATCACTAAAGCGCTGAGCGGTGAACTTTTTGTTTGGGGCCCACTGGGTCTCTGTCCCTCAAATTGGCCACCACTGCCCCCAAAACAGGCCAGAGGCAGGCAGGCAACGGGCTGGGCTCTACTAACTAATCTTTACTTCAGAACCAGGCAGGGGGCGGCTGGCTCAGTCGCTGGACTACGTGCTGCTTGCTCGGTTCGGGAGTCGAGCCCCGCGCTGGACGTGGCGCCGACTTAGAAAATAAAGGCAGTAAACTGCGTCTGGCCGCTGCCGCTCACTGACCTCGTACTACGGGCGGTCACAAAAATAAAGTGAGGCGCAGAGCCCACTCGGGAAAGCACGGACAGTAACCTTCGGCGAGGGGCAGGCTCCGTACGCGATCCACCGTGACTGGAGCGCACGCAGCTCCCTGAGCGAAGGGGCGCCTGGGAGCCTCGTCAGTCGGCTGCTCGACTCTTGGTTTCAGCTCCGGTCACGAGCTGGCCGTCGTGGGACTGAGGCGGCGGCCGGCTCTGCACTCAGAGCGCCGTCTGCTCCAGGTTTTCTGCCCCCCCCCCCCGCCCCCACACTCTAAAAGAAAATCTCTAAAAAGTTTACTTTGCACAAAAGAAGGTTCCGTGACTTCATCTGGGACATGGTCCCACAGATCCCGACCCACACAGAACGTCACCGCGCCGTGTGCTTAACGCACGTCAGTGCGTAGAACACTGCAGTCACGTGGAACTCCGGAATTCCATGGAACCTACCAAGTGATTACGGCAGAAGACACCGGCAATGGGCCAGCGAACCAGCGCCCAGTCCTGATGTGCCATGCCAACCTCTGTGCCTCCACATCCCCTGCTTTGCCAGAAGTGGGCTTGGTTTCTAAGAAGTGTCCTTCAGGACAAAGCCTTAGCCCGCAGAATCCCATGTTCCACTACTTCCTCCCCCCAAGCCCAGAGCACTGGTGCTCACCCACCTCTCCCGGAAGAATTCCAAGGGCCTGAACCCCAGGGTCCCCCAGCTCCGCTACAGTGCTGGCTCCTCCAAGCCCACTTTGGTCCCTGCACCCCAGCAGGGCCACACCCACCTCACCACAAGGGACGGTGACTAGCCTGCAGGTTGAGCCCGGCAGACAAGCTGTTTTCGCACAGCCTGCAAGGTTTTCTAAGGGCTGCCATACGACCTGTGGATGATACGTGCATCGGGAAAGCCAGTACCATAAAGAACAAGGCCGTCCCCATTCACTAGGCATCAGGAGGCTGCGTGCGGGCTGCCACATCACAACAGGACAACTGGGACCCAGATGGCACAGCCCACAAAGCCAAAGATACCTACTGTCTGACCCTTTGCAAGAAAAGCTCTCCGAGCCCAGGTCTGCTATGCTCTCCGCTGACCCAGACTACCACTCGATACAGCTATGAGAAATAGCCCAAAGCTCAGGTTAAGAGAAACCCCGAGACCGGAAAAATAAGCAACTATCCCCCTGCCGTCCCCACACCGGGAGCCTGACAGCTCGTGCTGGCACTGACGGCCCAAGTCCCAGAAAGAGATCGACACTCAGGCTGCAAACCCTTCACCGCCCTCAGCACGTCCCCAGCCACTGTGCAAACCCAAGTGAGGAGAACGCCCAGCGCCAGAGGTCTGGGGAAACGGGTGAGAAGCACTCACACCATTTCCCAGTGACTCCAGCTGAGCCAGAGACAAAAGGAAGGCACAAAGCGCCCACTCACCAGGCACATAGACAGAGGGATTCTCTGACATGCCAGGCAGGGGCTGGTAATCGTGAGGCCTGCGGATCTTCAGCGACTGGCCCTGGAAGATGATGCCATCGAACGCCATAGCCTGGGTGGTCTCATCCACTGAGCGGAACTGAAAGAGCAGCAGGTGGTGAGGGTCAGGAAGCCCAGCGGACAACAGCCCGAGGAGACAAGGGCTGCTGGAGAGGTGCTGCCACCGGGAGGAACACACGCTTTCCTGACCCCACCATGCACCCGGCTCACCTCCAAAAAGGCAAAGTTCTTGTCTTGGTTAATCTGCACAGCCAAGACGGGGTTGCCAGGGGCCTGGGTCAGCCCCCCAAGGCGCATCTGGGCATTGAAGAAGTCCATCATGGCCTCCTGCAGAGGGAATAGGAGACAGGGGGGGGCGGGGGAAGGGAGGTGGAGAGAGGAGGGGAGGGTGAGAGAGGGAGACACAGAGGGGTTTGGGGGTGAGGGGAAGGGAGGGGGCAAGGAATGGTGGAAGAAGGGAGGGAACAGTGGAATAGGGATGGGGGCGAAGAGATCAATAGTAGAAACAAAGGCAGGAAAAACGAGAGAAAACAGGGAAGGAGGCAGTAGCGAAAGACAGCCAGGGGCCAGAATTGTGGGGAGGGCCACGGGGGCCCCAGAGAAGAGACATCGTTCAAGAAAAACGCATGGAAACAGGGACAACAGGAAAAAAAGAATCAAATAGAAAATAAGTAGATTGAATGTGAGAGAAAAAGTATCCAATGGCAACGAGAAAAATGTAAGAAAACAGCAAAGAAAGAGCAGGCGGAAACACAGAACACCAAGTCAGAGAGAAAGAGGAGCAAAGGGACAGAGAGGGTGGAGGGAAGGAAGGTGGGGTGAGGCGGGGTGGGCGGGAGGGGAGGAGAAAAGAGTGATGTGGCGGGATCTGGCCCTGGAGTCCGGGGGCTGCTTTATCAAACGTAGCAAAGTGCAGGTTGAGAAAGTCAGAATGGACCTTACTTGCCTTCGACGATGGTAGCAAACTTTTTGTTGCTACGAGGGATCTCAGCCCCACAATATTTCACTTTAAAGAGAAATGGAAACAACTCTTTGATCTCGGGATTCTCGGGGTGCCACGGGAAGGGGTTGGGGAGAGGGAAGGGGAGAGGAGCGGCGGGGAAGGTTGGGGAGGTCAGGGCCATCAAAAACAAAAGAGCAGCGACCACGGGAGGGACGTAGGGAAAGGACGGGGAACAGGCGGCAGAAAACCAGAAGTGTGTCAGAGAAATCTGAGGGGAGCGTGCGTCTGTGTGTGTGTGTCTGTGTGTCAGCCTGCGCGCGCGTGCGAGTCTCCCTCTCTGTCTCTCTCGATACGGATTCATGGATTTCCGTAGGTTCGTTATGTGTGTGCTTGATCCCTGGGTTGTTGGAGGAGGTTGGGAAAGGGGAGACGGGAGAGGGGAAGAGGGAGGGAGGGAGAGGGCCACCCCCAGCCCGGCCCCTGGCTGGCTCAACTCCATCGGTCCGTCTGGGAGGGGGCCGGGGGGCCTTGCAGGAGCAGAGTCTGACCCGTGCAGGTTGAGGGAGGGAAGGGAGGGAAAGGGAGGAATGGGGGGGGGGCTGGGGAGAGGGTAGGGGCAGGGAAAAGGCAGGGGGCGGGCAGTACCTCAGTGATGCCAAAGGGGATGTTGCCCACGTAGAGGCGCCGGGCCTGTCTGGTCATCTGGCTCCCGACCACAGGCACCGGTGTCGGGGTCACAGCCAGGCCATCAGGGGTCATGGTAGGGAGAAGAGCGGTAGCTGGAATCTGACCCGCAGCTTCAAGAAAGGTAGAACAGGATTAGAACGCAATCCGGCAATCCTCTACACCCTCGACCCGGTTCAGGGACCACCCACTGTACACCCCAAGAGCCACGAGAGGGCAGCTCCCCATGGACCAGCCCAATGGGAGGCTCAACCCCACTCCGCCAAGGGAGCCTCCCAGCGTCTCCTCCGTGGTGGTCTGAAAGGCAGAAACCAGGAGGCCCAGGACACAAAACTTACCCTGGCCCCCCGCCCGCCCCCCACCGCCAGATCAGAGGCTGCCCCTCAGGCACCCAGCACACTCAGTCCGTCACCTGAGATGCAGTACCTTGCATGGCCTTGTACTGCATGGGGGTGATGTGCTCAAAGCCAGGTGGCGGGACATCCCAGTATTTACGGACCTTCTTCTTCTTCTCGTGGCGGGGGGAGCGACTGGGAAGGGGGGAGGGGAGAGCGGGGCAGGACGACCTCAGTCTGACCAAAGGTGGGCCTGCGAGCACCCCAGGCTCCCCTCAGCTCCCCACCAGGAGTGCAGCGCTCTCCAGGAGGGAGAGGATCTGGGTCAGGGCCGCACCCAGGCCTGGGGGAGGGTGCTGGTTTCAAGGCCAGTGGAATCTCATCCCCAGTACTTGGGCTGGGGCTGGCTGAGGACAGGGAAGGGTGCACGGGGGCAGGGGAGGGGGCAAAGGGAGTGGACATCGGGGTGGAAGGGGCAGGAAGAGAAGCTCACATCAATCCACCGTGCTCCTCTTTAGCGCCTCTGGTCAAAGGTTTGCTGGGGGGTGGGAGGGAAAGGTATGGGGAAGGGTGACTGGGGACCCTCGTCTTCCCCACACGCCACACCTCCCCAAGGGCTCAGAGCCCCAGGGCTGGGGCCAGCAGGCCCCCTTGGCCCTGCCATGCCCCCCAAGCCCCCCACCCCAGGAAAGAGGTACTGAGGAAGGGAGAAAAGGCCACATGGACCGCTTTCTGCTTGGAGAAACTGAGGTGGAAGGAGGCAGGAGGACTTCCACCTACCCTGCCCTTCCTCACCTAAGGGGACAGAAAACAGAGAGTGGTCTACGAGAAAGAAGCGTTAGAAGAGCAGACAACAGGCAGGGGTCGGAGATGCTGCCGCACTTCAAGAACCACCTCTTCCCAGAAGGCAAAGCTCAGGCCCCAGAAGACGATCCCAGAACCACAGACAGACAGTGGGAGAAAGAAACCAGCCCTGAGTGACAGGGACTGGGACAGGGTCACGAAAGAAGAAGCGTCGAGAGCCCTGACTCCAAACTCAACTCCTAGGTAAGGAACCTACTGTCCTCGCCAACCCACCAGAAACAAAAAACTCCAGAAACAGGAAAGAAAACCCAGAACTCAGACAAGGAACAGACCCTCCCTCAGGTACAGACAGAAGCCAGAGTCCCAGGCGCACAAGGTTTGGGGGCACCGACACCCCATTCCCAGGCCGGCCCACCCCACCTGTGCCCAGCCAGGGTCCCCAAGCCCTGGTACCTCCGCCGCCGCCTGTCCCGGGAGGCGCTCCGCTGGTCCCGGTTACGCCGGTCCCGACTCCGGCTCCGGCGCTTGCGGTCCCGGCTCCGAGAGCGGCTGTGGCTACGCTTCCGGTGCCGGTTCTCCTTGTCCCGCTCTGGGCCAGGGCGAGGGGCAGGAGAGTGAGCTGAGGGAGGACACGGCCCAGCCCACCCACTCCCTGGTGGCTAAGCCCCGAGCCCCAGGGAGGCCACCCCCAAGGGGAAGGGACTCAGTGCAGGAGGGGAGATAACAGGCTTCCTGGGTCCACAAGCCAGTCCAGGGACCCTGGGGGACCAAGGGCACGGGAGCTGGTTACCTGAGGGGACAGGGCCTGGAAACGCCCCCGGGGTGTAAGATACCTGAGGCTGCTCAGGAGGAGCTGGGGAGCCAGAGAAGACAGAGGAGGCTGGCTCCTGGTCCCCCTCGAGGGCTGAGGGGCCTGACCCCAGGGTCGTCCCTGAGAGGGGCAGGGCTAGAGGCTGGGGAATCAAGAGACCCAATGATGTTTTCCTGAATGAAGGACACTGGCGACCCCTCAGGAAAGACCTCCTCAACCAGCTGGCACCCACAGCCCCACCATCAGGCCCCGGCGTCAGGGGCCAGGCAGGATCTGACATCCCCAGGAAGCCAGGACACCCGACGGTCCCTTCCCAACCAGATGAAGAATGCAGGATGCCCTCCTCTAGGAACATGCCCCTTTCGGAACGTGGGCTATGGAGGAGGTACCTGGCCCCGCCTCAGGAGCTGGGGGACGAGCGTGCCCTAGCCCCCGCCCTCACAGGCTGGTATCCCAAACCACCCCATCCTGCCCACACTCCCCCAAAGCCAGGGACTGGGGTCCAGCCCCCAGTTGGCTCCCTCAACCCCCTCAATGGCCTTGCGGTGGCGGCTCGGAACGGAGCACAGCCATGCCCATAAAAACACAGAAACCTCTGCTCAAAGACCTCTCACCCCGGAAAGAGGTGCGGACCAACCCACCGGCACCGAGTCCCAGTGCGTTTCCGTGTTCTTCGGCTCGAAGACACCCCAACTCCTCCACTACCATGCGTCCGTGCACAAAAGCAGGGAGACGCAGTAAGGACAAGGTGGTGGACTTCAGCCCCCTTGCTACCACCTCAACTCTTACGCTTCCTGAGACTTCATGTGTGAACTTTCTACAAGTAAATCTCAACTCCAGAACCACTAAAACTCAAGCTAAACCGCAGCTCAGAAGGGGAAAAACCAGAGCAGCAGACACAAAAATGCTCCTAAAACCCATCTGTACCGAGTAGCCCCACTTGCCCTCAGTCCTTCCCCTGCAGAAAAAACACTTCTACCCAAACAACACAGAGAGACGAGGCACGGGAAAGCCACGTGACTCGCCCAGGGCAAAACCAAGACGGCGGTGTGGCCGGAAGGCGCACCCTGGAACGTTACCAAGTACGGCTAGGCACCTGGACACACTCCTTAACTCAGGAGACGCAAAACCCCCGAGGGTCTACCTAGAGCCGCCAGTAACGACGCTAGTACCCTACCAAGGTCGGAAAACGGAAGCTGAGCCGGCCCCAACCACGGCTGCGGTGAAGCAGGAGCAGACAGACGGGCATGGCTCCAGGCGCACAGCAGCTGCGCCCTGGAGCTGCCGGCCTCTGGCTCCACACCGGTAAGATGAGCAGGCTCCGAGCCCCAAGAACTCTCCCTGAGGCAAGGCTCTGGGACGGACACACAGCCAGACGGACGGCAGAGGAAGCGGAGATGCCGCCGGCTGCCTGCCCGCAGACGAGGAAATTCGCTCTCCGGAGACACACGCGCCCCCCGCATGGGCTGAAGCCAGAGGCTGGCCCCCAGAGGCGAGGATCCGCAGGCAGAGCGACAGGTGCACAGAGCTCCCCGCCTCCCCACACAACACAGCTCCACCAACCGCACTCGGGCCGGGGCTCAGGGCTGGCCCCCCAGTGCCGGAGAGAAGCCAGGAGCGGGGAAGAAGGGGCTCCAGCAGCCCCGGCCGGCAGCCCGGCCTCCCGTGGGCCACACGCAGGGAGGACTGCAGCGTTTCTGCCTCCGGACGATGGGAAATCACGCAAACGCGGCCAAACCTCCTTGAAACAAAGGTCCCGCGGGCCCCCGCGGTGAGGATGCGGCCCGACGACACTTGGAAAGCACCTCTCGCGCCGGCACCACCTCCACGAAGACGGTCTCTCCGCTTCGAAACGCAACACCGCACAAAGGACAATTTCACAAAAACCACGTCGCTTATCAAGCCCTTAGCGCATACCGAGCCCCATAGCACGCGCGCCTCTCCGTGTTCCCCGCGGGACCCGGGCTCTGCCCCGACTAACTGAGGCCCGCGGAGGTGTTGAACCCCGAGCCTGCCTCCCCCCGCAGAGCAAGCACATCGGCTCCGCCTCGCGCGCTCTCGAGGGCGCACTCCGAAGACAGCCGCAGGCTCAGCAAACAGCCCAGCGCGGGGCGCGCGCCCAGGTCACCTAGCACTACGGCCCTCCTCGATGCCGCAAACGCAGGGCCGCGACACCCGCACAGGGGTCCCGGGCAGCACCGCGGCCGGCGCACGGACGCTCCAGAGCAGGGCCTCTTTCCGGCCGCCCGGCCCCGCACACGGACCGCAGCAGCGTGCACCGCCTGCCCTGGTGCCGACACCCCGCAATCCCCACGCCCCTCGTCCCACACGGCGCGGCACAACTCGGCAGAGGCCGGGTCCACGCGCCCCACCACGGGGACCGGACGAGCAGCCAACACTCCACGCCGCGGGCAAGGGGACGGCCCCACTCCCACGCCCCAAGGACGCACGTGTGTCCTCTCCCCCGAGGAACACCGCCGCAGCCCGCCGCCGCCCCGGAGCGGGGGGGGGGGGGCAGACCCGCGCCCACGTGAAGGTGGCTCGCAACCGCCATTTTGGGACAAAGGGGGCGTGGAGACCCGGGCCCGGCCGGAAGCGGAAGTGCCGGGGCAGCGGGAAAGAAAAGAAGCATCGAGGAACACAGAAAGCCCCTTTTCACAGTATTTAAAAAGGAAAAAAAGAAAAGAGGGTGGCGCGCACGCGAAGGACCACCCAGCCAGCCCGCGGATCCGCGCCGCCTCCGCCGCGGACCACGTGGGGCGCAGACCGGAGCGCGCCGCGCATGCGTCCGGGACCCGCGCCCGCTGCCCCCTCCCCTCCCTTCCCCTCCCCTCCCGCGCGCGGCGGCACGCCGGGTGGTCACGTGAACGAGGCGCGCGCCGCGGAGCGGTGGGGGGGGGGCGCCGCGCGGCCCAGAAAGGAGGGGGAAAGAGAGGAGTAAAATGGCGGGGAACACGGAGAGACCAGGAGCCACCCCGCCCGCCGTCCCACACCCCCGGCGCCCTTACCTTGCTTATTCTCGTTGAGCTGCCGCTCGAACTCGTCGAAGTCCGACATGCTGAGGCGGCCGCGTAAGGGCCTGTGCAGCTCTGGCTTCGCCTTGCCGCCCGCCCGCTCCGGCCGCTTCGGCTACTTCCGCCGCTCGCTTCGGCTACTTCCGGCCGCCGACCGCGCTCTGCCGCCTCCTACCTAATCAAGCCCGGGACGCCCGCCCCGCCCCGCCCCGGCTCCGCCCCTCTCCCCGCCCTCCCGCCCGCGAACCGCCCCTCCCCCTCCAGAGCCTAGCTCCAAATAGCGTCGGCTATATCCGGGCCGTAGAAGGAATCGCTAGCGGCGACTCCGGCAGCTTCCGAAAACACCCGAAGCGAGGATTTCACCGGCTTCCCAGGCTATCGTAACTTTTCGGAAACTAGCTCTTCAACGGTCGGGTGTTTCCGTAGGTCCGCGCGTTCCTCTGCGCCCAGCGCCCCCCGCCCCAAGGGTTCGGCTTCTTCCGACAATTCAAACCGTCCCAGTCTCTCGCTGCTCCCGCAGATTCGACCCGCTCTACGCTGCCGGCCCTATCCAAGTAATCGGCTACTTCCGACAATCCTAAACGTCCCGCACTTCTGCGCTTTCTGAAGGTTTCCAGCGCTGGCTCTCGAATCCAGCCAGAGGATTAAACCCAATGCCAAGCTTCGGCTCTCTCCGGACAGTGCACTCACTCCTCCCCAGCCGGTGAACTTCGGCTCCTTCCGCCACCGCTTCGTGAAGGCCTCACTCACGGGAGACAGCTTCGTTTTTTTCCGTCGGCGCTTCGGCTCCTTCCGGCTTCGGGAACCGAAAAGGGAGGGAGGACAGAGACGAGGTTGGTCAGGAGAAGGGATACGGAAAAAGGGCGGGGTCCCGGCTCTCTGCCCCTGCCTCTCCGGGTGAGGAGAGCGGAGGAAGAGAAGGGCCGATTTCGCAGACGGCCTAAAAAGGTTGCGCGAGACAAAAGCAGGCAGCGGGGTGAAGGGTGCGCGCGGCCGCTGCGGAGGTTGCCAGCGCGGCTTTGTGCGCCTGCGCAGAGTGGAAAAGGAGGAGAGCGAGTTGGGCTTCTGCGCCTGCGTAGAGGTCGGTCTAGGCTAGGTTTCTCACCATTCGGGAGGCGAACGGGTGCCAGAGGCCCCAGCACGCATGCGCGAGACGTTCCCTCACTCCGGGAAAGGTACTGGATTCCAGACCGTTAGGCACAGCCGCCGTCTCCTGGTTGCTGTAGCAACAGCGTAAGCGCGCTCGCGCCCCTCCCGCAGCGCAGGCGCAGCAGGCGACGTAGAGGGCACTTCCGGAAGAGCGGTAATTTGGCAGTACCGCCTCCTGGCGGGCGGGCGTGGAAGCCTCCGCCCGAACGTGTCGTTTCCCGGTCCCCGTCACTGAGTCTCGGCCCCTGCCACCGCGCCTCTAGTCGAGCTAGCCTCTTTCCCGGAGCTCTACCTCTCCGAGTTCCCTGGGGCACAGCTGCTTTCCCTCCTCCCGCCCCTGCCGCCAGGGGTGCTAATTACACCCTGTCTCCCCGAGCTCCGGCTCCCTGCCTGACCGCCCGCTCCGTGCAACTCGCAGGAGGCCCCGTCACTGTCTCCGCGGCAACGGACACCCCCTCCAAAAAGGAGCCGGGCCTAGTTTATTCCAAATTTTATCGTCTCTCTTTAATTTAAATTCTCTGAATAATTCTTTCTTGTCCGGAATGCAGGTGGAGAGCTCCTGGCAGAGTGGGCCAGCCTCTCCTCGGGGCTGGGGGTAGAGACGGGGTATGTACAGTGCCTGGCCCCGCAGAGAGTCTCGCAGTGTCCCCCGGAGGAAGCGCCCGGTGAGGGCAGGACGGTGCAGCTCGCGTGGGAGGAGTGCCAGTGTTTGGGAAAGGGCAGAAACCGACCCCTGAAGCTTGGGGGCCAGGCTAAGTGGACGCCCCTCCCCAGGGGATGCAGAGAAAGGGGAGGAAGCTAGGAACGTGAGAGGCAAGGAGGGGACCGGATCTATATACGAGGAACCTGGGGTGGGAGTGGGGATCTGCAGGAGCAGGATAGGCACGTGCAGAAACACCCCAGGGCCTCTGGAGGAGCACGCCACTCATGCACACGCTCGCCCGGTGCCAGGAGGGACACAGGAGGGAGGGAAGTGGGGGCCGAAGGGCGCGTCCCGGGCCAGGTGGGGCAGGATCACCGCTTGAAGCGGTAGGTGATGGGGAGCAGCAGCTTGCTCTTCTTGAGCGCCTGCACCTTCTTGAGGGTCTCGTCGTCCAGGGCCAGGAAGCAGCGGCGCGAGTACTCGAGCAGACGCTCCTTAGAGGGGTCGAACTCGCCCACCTCCGCCAGCTTCTCCGGGGCCACGATGAGCAGCTCCGCGATGGGCGTGGTCAGCGCCACCGTGTTGCGATCTACTCGGTGGTGCTCAAAGGCCCGAGACATGCTCTTCAGCTTCTGGAAGGTGCCCAGGATCTTCTTGTAGCGGCAGAGGACTCCGTCTGCATCCTTCACTGCAAGGCCAGGGCGGGCAGAGAGGGAGACATGAGGAACAGAAATGGACATGGGAGGCAGAGATGGGGCACGGACAGTGAGCCCCGTGCAGGAAGAGCCAAGAGAACAACATGGAAATCCAGAGGACAATTGGGTGAGGAGTCAAGAGGTGGTGGGAGACATGGAGACAGAGCGAGACAAGTGGAAAAATCAGAGAAGGCAGACCCAGAGAGGAGTTGTTCCCAGCCCCCCCTGAGCCTCACCCCCTCCCCTTGTTACTGATGAGAAACCTGAAGCTCAGACCCAGATGGCAAGGCTGGTGAGGGTGGACTGCGAAGTAAGACCACACGTGGACAGTCTGTCTGGGACAGACAACCAGGCTAGGGGAGAAGGGAGGGCCTCCTCCAAGGTCACAGCAGGCCCCCAGCCCAGATCCCTTGAGCTCCCACCCCAAATGCGGCTTGCTCACCCCGCTGCCTCTCCCGGGCCTTGGGCTTCCCAAAGCGTCTCCGGCCAGCACCTCCCTTCTGCCTCTGTCTCTTCCTCTCCACGGTATTGCCTTCTTCAGACGCTCCGCTGAGTGAGGAGGCCGCCGACTCCGGATCTGAGGCCTCGCCCCCAGCCCCACCCCGGCTGTCCCCCTCAACCCGCCTGGGCCCAGGCTTCACCCGGCAGTGGTCCTCTGGAAAGAGGTAGAGAGAGACCCGTACACATGAACTTCCAGAACAGGAGGGAGGAGGAGGCAAGAGGCTGTCTGCAAGGTGGGGACGATGTCACATCATATACAGGTCCCCAGGAAGGGGGGGCTCAACTGGGGCTGGAGCCCCCAAGGAGACCAACAGACAATACAGCGTAGACGTTGCAGTCCTTAGCAAGAGGGCTGAGTGCATTTGGGGGCGGAGATCACAGGTGGAGCATGGGTTCATGCCCCTCAGACTCCTAAGCTCTATGGCAAGACATCTGGGGGAAGGGCTGAGAGAACCAAGACAGGACCAGACACCTCAGAGAGTCTGTGACTCTAGGCTCCCATGGTGGAGGAGGAGTTTGGGGGAGACTCAGTGGGACCTCCAGAAGAGAAGACTCTAAAAATCCGGGAAGCAAGCAAGGCCTTGGTTGAGGTGGGGGATTCAGACCCTGAGAGAAATCCCGGGCTCTGGGTCCAGTGGGCTGGGGGATGTTCAGTGTGGGGGTTTTTACTGAGAAAGTCCAGAAGGCCCTGAGCCGAGGCATCCTAGGTAGGTTCCCATCTGCGTGAGGAGACAATGGGAGGTCCCAGCAACCCAGGCCACAGGTGGTCCAGAGCAGAGGGGACCCAGTAACACACATGTTGAAAAAACATACCCCTTGCCCAGACTATCAGGTGAATCACAGGGGATTATGGGGGCCTGGGAGGGAGCCAGCCAGGGGCTGAACATCATGTGGAGGGGAGCAGAAGTTGGACTCTCCAAAACAGGCTGTTAAGATTTGAAAAAGGAAAGCCCTGAGCATCCCTGGCTGGGATTGGCCACAAGATTCTGCCCATCAGCAGTGGCAGGAGTTGAGCAGGAAGGAAGCGGATCCTGGGGTCCTAGAAACAGCTCTGGGAGTAGGGAGAGATCCCCACTGGGCCATCAAAGGATGAAATCAGAGAAGGGTTCTGTATCCCGGAGAAGGGCCAGAGCCTAGTGTCAGGGCCCCGGAGTGAGGCGAGGGACTCTGCTCACGTGCCCCACCTGCATCCATGCGGGCCGAGGAGATAAACTTGTCCAGCTGACACCGCAGGAAGTCCCTCTCCTCCTCCAGGTCCTCGATGCGCTTCTGCAACCATGAGTTTCTCTCCAGGGCCATGTGCAACTGGGCCCTGACACCATTCATCAGGGCCACGGTTGGGGATGCGGCCTCCGGAGACTCTAGGGACACGGGGGAACCTTGGTCACACCCCAGGCCTTAAGGGCCCTGCACCCCAGCTGACTGGGGTCCCTCTAAGCCTCCCCCCCAGCTCACCCTCGAAGTTTCCCCGAGAGGGGCTCAGACTGTAAAAGATCTGTGGGTCTAGGTGGGGCGTCTCATCGAAGGGGATGGAGATCTCGAAGGCCTCATCGTCTTTCTTCACTGGAGGGGAGAGGCCAGGGGTCACCCCAGGGAAGGCCCCAGGCACCTCAGACCAGCCCCCAACCACCGTAGCCCGGGGGTTAGAAAGGGCAGGGATGGGCAGGGCGTGGGGGGATCCAAGGGTGAGGCAGGGTCCCAGCTTCCTCACGTGTCCTCCTCCGACTGTTTCGGTCATTCATGGCGCGGCCTCCGGTGGACCCAGGCAGCTTAGCGCCTCAGGGACACTGGACAGAAAGGGCAGCCACAGATGGAGGGACATCCCAGGGACGGTGGGGCCCAACTCTTTAGGACTCGGGGGTGGTGCTGAGGGCCAGGATTCCTGGGTCCTTGGGAGGACGCCTGGGGTTTCAAACTCCTGGGCTCCTAGGAAATGGGGAGGCTGGCGGCCCAGACCCCGAGCCACTGAGGGAAGGAGGAGTGGGTTCCCCGCGGGGTCGACGGAGCCAAGACATCCTGGCCCAGATGGGGCCGACCCTCATCACGGATCACCTCGGGGCCAAAAGAAGCGAGAGGCGCAGGGGGGAGGGGACCGTGCCCCAACTTCCAAGCATAGGATGGGGGTCCAGCCCACGCGCTGCGCCTCCCCACGCCCCTCCCCCGCACTCGTGTGGGCGAGCAGGGCCCCTCCCCGTGGTTAAGGGGGCGCGTGCGCAGTGCGGGGGAAGGTCACGCGTGGGGATGCGCCCCCGCCCCCGCCCTTTGTCCCCCGGGTGGGAGGGGGAGCGATGTTGGCCAGGGATCCCTTCGGCAGATGCACTAGGCCGTGGGTGCAGATGCGGCCACCACCCCCCGCCCACAGGTGCCAGGGGTCGGAGGGGCCGGAGCCCCGCGCTCACCCACCCGCGCGCGGAATCCGGCCAGGGGACCGACAGCGGCGGCGCCCATGCCCGGCGCCGGGGAGCGTCTGCAAAGTGTCGCGGGGAGTGCAGGGAAGCGCCCACCCGCCGCGGGCAGGCGGGGAGGCAGAGGCGGCGAGCCTGGGGCGGGGTAGCGGGCCGGTGGGAACGGGCAGGGACGTCGGCACTTCCCCGCCCGCCGGTCTGTGCGTTTTTTCCAGGAGCCTCCAGCGCCAGGTGAGGCCCGCCGTTTGCGGCCGAGGCGTGAGCTGCACTTGCGCGACGGCCCCTTGCCGCACTACCCCGCCCTTCGCGTTGCCCGGGCAGGGAACGTCAAGAAACTCCCAATTCCTGGAGAGCTGGAGGCTCCGGGGTCCCCGGGGTCGGGGGAGATGCACCGAGTCGGGCCCGGGAGAGGGAAGGAGACAACCAGGAAAGTTGAAGCATAGGGAGAATCCTTTTCAGCGGTACCCTAAGAACTGGCCCCTCGGACTCCCGTAACCCGCCCCTTCATCTCCCGCCGTCCGTGCATCGCCAGCACAACCGGACCTCACGCACGGTTCCTAGGACCATGAGAGAGTAGGGGTTACAGTTACCCTCCCTGAAAATAGGGGCCCGGAACACCCCCAGCGCCACCCCTGTGGCAGATTATGAGCTGCTTGGGAGCATTTAGACCCAGTCTTGGCCGCTCCTCCTCCCCCGTCCCCCGGCCTCAGTTCACTCACCTATAAAGTGGGGAGGTCACGGTCCTTTTTAGGTTCCTTGTGAGGGTGGACGGATATGTGCAGGCAAAACGCTCAGGCCAGCGCCTGGCCATAGTCTAGGCTCAAGATCAGGGCGCTGGCAGTGGTATTTGAGGTCAGACAGCGGGAGGCTCTTTCCCTCTCTGGGGAATGGAGATGGTTAATTTGTTCTTCCACCCAAGAAGAGGTCGGAAGAAGGAATGAGGCCCAGCACAGTGCCTGGCACAAAGCAGGCGCGCGAGGACAGTTCATTAAAGCAGCTGTTTATTAGCTTCTGGCTGGGTCCCGGCCTCTCCTCCCGATCTCCAGTTGCTCCTGGAATTTTCGCCAGCCCTAGGAGAGGAGGGCTTTAACCTTGCAGGAAGAGAATGTAAATGTCTGCACCACCACCCCTCTCCTACCTGCTTCACATTACAGATAAACTGCTGGCTGGGTCAAAACGTCCAGGGGGAGGGACCTGCCCTACATCGGCGTTTTGCAAACTACAGGTTCACGGGCAGGGAATTCAATAGGCTAGAACAGAATGGGCAGGAGGAAGGAAAAGTGGACTGCACGTAGCGGAGATTCAGTATTGTTAAAGTTTCGTTTCACATACAGTTTGTGTGATGTATACTGGGTGGCCAAATAAAACGTTTCATACAATAGATCCTAGCTTTAAGGGAAAAGAAAAAGGTTGAAGAACACTCTGCCTCGCTGACACCCCTTGTGAGTAGCCACGCTAGGGCGGACCCCATTGCAGGAGACCAGACTTCCGATCACCAGCCAGGCAGGCCAAGCATTTCGCACCGGTAAGACCCGGGCAGGATGCTCAGTCCAGAACCTGGCCATAGTCTAAGCTCGATATCAGGGCACTGTTCTTGCTATCTGAGGTCAAACAGTGGGAAGCTCGTTCCCTCTCTGGGGAGAAGAAATGGCTCATTTGTTCTTCTGCCCAAAAAGAGGCGAGCCAGGCACTTGCTGAGTCTCCCCGTTAGGCAGCAGGCGGGCCAAGCCGCTGTCCCCAAAAACAAATGTCAAGCTCAAAATGGGAAAGGTGTTTATTGGGTGTCCAGTGTCTGGCTGGGGTTTGGGAGGCAGGTCTGGGGCCCCTTCCTCCAGCATCAACAAGGAGAGCCTCAGGAAGCTGGTGCAGATTCTTGACGGCTCCCAACCACATTTTTCAGGCTGGAGAATTTCCACACAGAGCACTCTCCCCCCACACCTCTGCTCAGGGCTCAGCCTGAGGCTGGGGGGCTCCACTCTGCGAATGTTAAGGTCTTGTTTTCAGCTTATCTCCAATACACGAAGGCTACTCATGGGCTCCTCCTTCAGGCAGGGCTTGGCCTTTGCAGGCGGTCGGTCTGTGTCCCGGGCTGCAACCCAGCCTTCCGCACTGGCCAGGGTGTCTGAGGGCAACGGGAGTCCAAGCTCCCCACAGATCCCCGTGGCACCTGGGGCACCCCGCAGCCTAGCTCATGGGTGCTTCCACCGAGTGTGCTTTTGCAGCGTGTTCTGCTCCATAAACCGGCGCGGGCAGTGGGGGCACTGAAACGGGCGCTCCCCTGAGTGGACCCGGCTGTGCTGGGCCAGCTCCCCCGCCTCTCGGAAGCGGCGAGGGCAGAGCGGACAGCCATGGGGTCGCCCACCGCCGGCCCGGTGAATAGAGTGGTGCCGAGCCAGGTGGCTGGCCCGCTTGAATGCCTTCCCACAGGTGTCACACTCGAAGGGCTTCACCTCCGAGTGGGTGATGCTGTGCCGCTGCAGGTAGGACATGTACTCGAAGACCCGGGAGCACACGGGGCAGCTGTAGCACTTTTTCTGAGCGGATGTCCCATCTGCGCCAGGCTGTCTCTGGGGCTCCTGGTCCACCAGCACGGTGTACGGCACACCCTGGGTGTCAATGAGCAGGTAGTGGTTGGGCCTCGGAGAGGAGGAAGTCTGGGGAAGTCCGGTGGAGGAGGAAGGTCCGGGTTCTGGAGACCTGCCTGTCCGAGAGGGCGGGGCCTCCATGGCCTCTGCGGAGGGAAGCGCCAGGGGCTGCGGGCAGGGGGACGACGGCAGCACCAGCATCCGGAGGGGTGGCTGAGGCCTGCTGGGCAGGAGAGAGGATGAAGTTACACACAGGAGGGAAGCTGGCTGCGCGAGCTCCGTTCTTCACCCTCTGTGGAGTCTGCTCAGAACCTGTGCGTCCCTGGACTCTGTGACCTTCTGTAAAGCTTCCAGGGTCCTGGTCCCATCACTCACTGCAAGCACGGGTACACCCAGGACCTCGCTCTGTCCTCCTCCTCTGTACCCTCCTCAGGTCCCTGGGCGCCCCTGCACTCCGGGCACCCGCAGGGCTTCCCGAGGCCCCACCCCCTAGACCTGCAGGTCTCGGTCTCGACTCCCCACGCCCCTGACCCGGGTCTGGGTGTCGCCCCATCCTGTTACTCCACCCAGAAGCCTGGTCTGCCCCTTCCACGTTCGCCAAGCCGTCTCCGACGGGCTGCCACGCTAAGACCCGCAGGTCCTGGCCCGCCCTCCAACAGGCTCCCTGAGCACCCCTGCGCGCCCCCCTCCTAGCCCGGCTACCTCCAGATTCTCTCTGGTCCACGCCCATCCAGCTTCTCCACCCCAAGTTCTTCCTGGGTCCTAGCGCTCTCTAGGGCGCCGCCCCCCCCCCGTCCGTGGCCCGGCCTCCGAGCCCGGCTCCGCGAGTTCTGGGCGGTGCCCTCCCGAGCCCCGCGGCGGCCCCTCCCCGCCCCGCGCACAGGTACTCGCTCCCGGCCCCGCCCCTCTCGCGGCCCGCGGCCCGCTCCCGCCCGCCTCCAGCCTCCCGGCCCCCGTACCCGGTGCAGCAGCCTCTCGGGTCCGGGCGACTCCGGAACGGCCCCGGGCTACCCCCGTGGTCGCAGGTGGGAGCGGGACGGGCGCCTCGGGGTGTCCCCCGGGAGCTGGCGGTACCGGTAAGAGGAGAGCGGACCCGGGCGCGGAGAAGAGGGGCGAGGGGAGGAAGGTGGGGGCGGGGCGCCCGGGCCTTCGGGAAACGGATCCGGCCAGAAACACACGCCGGGAGGAAGGTTCCCAGGGGCTGAGGGCCCCGGCTGCCCGCTCCCAGCCGCTGCGCACCCCCCGACACACACACGCACATCAGAGCCCCGAGGCGGAGTGCGGAATGTTTATTGAGTATGGGGCGAGGGCTGCGGGTGGAAAGGGGGCGATACAGGAACGAGCCAGACCGTGCCGTGCTCTTGGGTCAGCTCTTCCGCGCACACGACGGCTGAGCCCTCGGGAGCAGGAGAGCCGAGCCCCGAGACGCTGTGCGCCTGTGAGGGCTCGCGCGGCCCGGCCCGGCCGGGGCCCAGTTCCGAGACTGGCTCCCCGGCCCAGGGAGGGGCAGCGACGGGGCCGGCATCACACAGCGAGACAGGAAGGTAAGGAAGGAAGGGGGGGGTCTCTCCCTCTGGGCAGACGGGGAGACGGGCCCCGGGTAAGGCAGGGCGCGCGTGTGGCAGCGCGGCTGTGTGGCTCGCGAGGCCCCGCCGGCCGGGAACTCAGTGGAGGCGCACGTGCTGCGCCAGCTCCGCGGCGTCCTGGAAGCGGCGTGGGCAGAGCGGGCAGGTGTGCGGCGGGCCCGCACGGGCGCGGTGCGTGGCGCGGTGCCGCGACAGGTGGCTGGAGCGCTTGAAGGCCTTGCCGCAGGCGCCGCACGTGAAGGGCTTGAGGTCCGAGTGCGACACGCGGTGGCTCTGCAGCCGCAGGGGGCTGGCAAAGACGCGAGCGCACTCCGGGCAGCTGTAGCCCTTGCGCGGCCCCGCTTCTCCCGGCGCGGCCTCGCGCTGGGGCGGGCCCCGGGGCTCCTCCTCCAGCTGCACCGTGTACGTGTAGGGGACCCCGTTGGCGTCGATGAGCAGGTGGCGGCCCAGCCGCGGGGGTCGGGGCCCTGCCGCCGAGGATGGAGTGGAGGAAGGGCCTTCCGTCTTGGGGAAAGGGGGAGCCTTGGGGGGCGGCGGGTCCATGGCCTCTGGGGAGGAGGACCGAGGGTGGGGTGGCCGAGGCGGCAGCAGCAGCATCTGGGGTGTCAGCTGGGAGCAGTGGAGGGGAGAGAAGTTAAAATCGCTACTTGCTGGGGGCAAGTGTCCCCATTACCACGGCTTGGCAGGCCCTCTGTACCGCTGACCTACCTCTTCTGCAAAAGAGGAACCGACTCCAGGCTCTGGTTCCAGCAAGGGGGTCCCAGGACAGCCCCACGAGAGCCGGGCATACCCCTGCCCGCCTGCGCCCGCCCTCCGCCCCCCTCTCCCCTGCGGCTCGGTCTCCCCCCATACCAGGCCAGACGGCGCTCTCCTGCCACTTTCCTTCCCCCAACTCCCCCACAGCCTGTCAGATTCCAAGTCTGTTTCCTAACTCGTTCCTAACGGGTCTTCCCAGGCCCCGGGCCGGCCTAGCAGCCTCGACCCCCTGGAAGGCCTCCCCTTCTTCGCACGCAGCGCGGCCTGGCTGAGACTGCTCCCTGGGTACGCCCCCAGAAGGCCAGTTTTCGGCCTGAGCCTGTCTATTCCGACCCTACGCTTAGCACCTCCAGGTCTCAGCCTCCCCGCGCCGAGCGGACCCGCCGTCCGGGTTTCACGCACACATCCCCTGGGACGCCTCAACTGCCCGCTTCTGTGCACCCACACACCCTGCGCCTCCCAGGGGCGCCCTCTCTCCCCCGCCCCTAGACGCAAGCCACCGACGTCGTCCGTTTCTAACGTCCGTGCCCTGCGGGGCTTCGGCCCCCTCGCCGCTGCCCGCACCGGGGCCCCGGGAGCCCCATCCCTCCCCTCTGCGAGCATCTGGCACCTCTGTTTCTCCATCCCTCCAGCCCGCTTCGCTGCTCCGCCTCCCTCGGCAACCCCAGCGCCCGGGGCCCCCCCGCCCCCTTCCCGCTGCACCCTCAGGGCCCCGCTCTCCCTCCGGTCCCACCCCCGCGGCGCCCGCCCCTCCCCCAGCCCGGCCCGGCCTCGCGCCGTCCCGGAGCCAGGCTCCTCCCTCCGTCCCGGCCCCCGTACCCGACGCGGCGGCCTCTCGGGACCGGAGGAGCGGGCCGAGGTCCCGGGCGGCCCAGGCTTCCCCTCGCGAGTGCCGGCGGCGGCGGGACCGAGACTTCCGGGAGCTCCGGGCCCGCGGCGCCGGGAACGCGGGCGCGGGGGGCGCGGGCGCGGGGGCGCGAGGGGCGGCGGCGTCTCTGGAAAAGGGCACCGTGCGGAAACTCGCACGCCACGACGAAGGTTCCGCGGTCCCGGAGCGGGGGGCTCGCAAGGTCCGAGTCCCTGCAGGCCGAGGGTGCGGGGGGGAGGGCGCGGGTGTCGGCTGCACAGCGCCAGCCCTGCCCCCGGCCCCGAAGGGGACTGTTCGGGCGCCGCGACACACGTGCGTTAATACACGGGCTAGGCTGCCTGTGTTCGCCCGACGCTCCCCTAGGAAGGGGCGCGCCCAGGTTTGTCCACTTGCGGCCGGGCCGTCCCGCGTGCTCCCCCGCGCAGCCGTGCAGAGGGCGGGAGCAGGGCGGGTTCTGTCGGTCCGGCGTGGCGCGCCCCGCTGGGCGGACGCGGACCCGAGCCCGCGGAAGGCCAGACAGTGTTGGTTGCAGAGGTGGGGACGTGCGGCTCCTCGCGTCCCGCTGATGGGGAAACTGAGGCCCGAGGCGGCGCGCGGCCGTGTCTTGGAGGTGCCCGGCACAGACCGCGGTGCGCACGGGGAAACCGAGGCAGGCCCCGGTTCAGGCTCGTAGCGCGCCCACCCACCGGCCGCGCCTGCAGCTTCGTTCCGGGGGGCGGGGGCAGGTGGCTGCAGCGGCGGCGGGGCAGAGCGGGGAGCCGCACTTGGAGCGCCTGCGGCCTGTCCCGCAGCCACCGCGGGAACAGCCCCAGAGCAGGGAGTGGCGTGGCGGGCAGCGCACAGCGGAGGGAGAGAAAGGGCGTTACTGGAGCTCGCAGCCCGGGGAGCCGGGGGAGGTCAGAGCTGCTTCGCAATGAGCTGCCGGAAAGAACTGGTCTGTGGTGACCGGCCAAGTGTGGCCCCCGCGGCCGAGGGCCGGAGCTTTTAAATGCTCTTTCTCTTCAGGTAAATCTCAATGGCCACACGTGGCTAGTGGCTGCCTGCGGTCTGGGACAGCTCCCGCCACCCTCAACCACTTGCAAACAGGAGGCCTGCAGGCCAGAAAGGATTCAGTGTTTGGTCTGGACCATATGCTATTTCTGTGTTTTACTAGGCAGTATCCAAGAAGCCAGAAAATACGCAAACTCAAAATCCCAGACACACTTGGAAAATTTCTGGATGTGGCAGTAAGCTGAGCTGAGAAAGCATTCTTCCGAAAACCTTCCAGAAACCTCCAGACATGTGTGGAATTCGGCTAGAACTAAAGCCCCCTTGCATGGTGCCGTCGCTCAGGGAGGTTTGACATGGGTCTGGCCTGAGGTGAGCCATGCTGTCAATGCAAGACGCCCCCCAGATTCTGAAGACTTATTCTGGAAAGAAAAGAGGCAGGACCTTTCGTGAATGACTTTTAGATGGATTATGGTTCACAGTGGTCATACTTTGGATATACTGGGTTAAGTAAGGCATCATGTTAAAACGCATGTCACCCGTCTCGTTTCACATTTCCCAAGTGTGGCTCATTCTGATGCTATGGGACAGCATTGTCCTCACCGGGCAGTAGGGAGGACGGGGACTGGTGAGCAGAGGGCACACCTTGTGTGCAGGGCAACTACACCATCTGTCTACACTGGGCTTTCCCAGCTCTGACACTATCGGTACTTTGGAACTGGATCATTCTTCAGTGTGGGGGCCTGTCCTTCACACTGTATTGTCCAGATGCCTGTAGCACCTCTCTCGTCCCCACCTCCCCCAGGTGACAGCAGGCTTCCCAAGTATCACCCTGGGCAACAGGGACTCTGGTCTACACAGACAGCTAACCCAATCAGTCTGCTGCCCAGATCCCTTTCTTGAGTTTCAGAACCCTGTAACTACCTGCATCCACGACAGCCAGAGCACCCCCCATCCCCAGAAACAACGACTGTGACCAGCACTCTGCGCCCTCACTATGCGGCCCAGCAGTGCTGAGTGTATTGGTCCTCAGAGCAGACCTCTGAGGCAGGGGTCACGAAGATCCCTTTTCTGGGTGAGGTGGCAGAAGCGGGGAGAGACCGTGCGATTGGCCTGCGTCAGGACAGCACCGGCGTCTGCCAGACCCCAGCCGCAGCTGGTGTCCACTATGCACACCGCGGTTTGCCCCCTGCTTACTGGAACAGCCTCCCACCCACCCTCTGGTACTTTCTCTTTACGGCAATACTGCAGCCCCTGTATTTGTTTAAACCCAGGGAATCCTGTCCTCTGTGGACTTAAAACCCTCCGCACCGCACTCAGAATGAAGCCCAGGAACCCACCAAGCACAGTACTGCCCCTGCCCCCTCTCCCAGCCTCCAGGGCCTGCATCTGCTGTTCCCTCTCTCTCGAGTATCGCCCCTAGCCCCTCACCGGGATGGACCCTTTCTGACCATTCGGGTCTCCACTCAGATGGTACCTCGTCACTGAAGCTTTGCTGAGTCTGAGGTCAAGCGGGTGACACCCGGCTCTGCCTCCTCATTGTTTCCTTCCAGCATCCCGTAGGGCCGTCCATGGTGGTCTGGCTTACTTACCAATTCACTCTTCTGCCTGCCTTTCCCACTCCGCAATGGCAGAGAAGTCCCGTCTGGGATGACACTGTATCCTCAGAACCCAGCCAAGGTCTTGGGAGAGGGTAGGGGCTCAATTCAGTTTTGGTTGAATGAATGAATAAATGAATGATTTCAATCCCCCCATCCAAAAGTGAAGCATTCCCTACCCACAGCCATAAAACCCCGCTTCTCTCTGGAATGTGGTCACCATGACTCCCCACATGCACTCGAGTCCAGAACCTTGGATGGTCTCATTCTCCCCTGCCCCCCCCCCGCCCCCTTCCTCAGCTCCCCAGAGCCAGACAGCACCTTGCAGCCCCCAACCGGACTTTGAACTTACACGGCTCGAGGTGCAAAGGCTCCTGTGTTTTCCTCGACTTGCCACTCTTCCCCTTCCTCTGACTGCGGCCTCCTCCTCAGTCGTCCCAAATCCTGTGCCCTGACCTCCCAGGCGAGCAGGGACACTGCTCGTGCTGGCTGGCATTCGCACCCACCAGCTCAGCAATCTCTCCAGCCTCCTCTAGGACCCATTACCCATGTCCCCAGCCTTCAGCTCACTCTGCCTCTCAGTAATCCAGTGGGGCTGGCGCTCCCCTGAGCCTCAGGAAGGGCAAGAGGCTTGCATCCGGTCCGCTCCCCCAGCCCTAGTGGCAGAGACAGTATCAACCCCCCCCCTCCCCGCACCCTCCCTTCCCTCCGCAGCCTACAGCCGGAGCCCAGCCTCCAACAGGAGTTTTTCCTGGACCGCTCTCCTCTCAACGCCCACCGCTCACTCCACACGACCTTGCACTCCCATGCTCACTCCACACGACCTTGCACTCCCATGCAACAAGTCCTTCTCTCCTTTGGGGAAGAAGTGATCGCCAAGCCTTTGCCTCTGGGTCAATCTGGGTCTTAGTAATCCACTCACCAGCTTCCTGCCCTCCTCTCTGCACCCCATCCCAGGTCTCCCCGACCCTCCTTTTGCAGGGGTTCTCTGCCTCCAAGCCCCCCTGCCCTTGGGGCCACTGAGTCCCACACCGCAAGTCCTTTGTGTCACCCAAAACCCTCACTGCTCCGTTGAGCAGGATCCTAACAATGCCACATCTCCTGCTCCCACTCACTCCTCCAAGCCTTGTCTCAGCCGTGCTACCCTAAGTGAATGCATCGATGCCTTCCCAGAGGGCTCCAGCCCCCCAGGCAGAGGCAGGTGTGCCTAAGGTCTCTGGCCAAGAACTTACAAAGGAAAAGTTCCCACATAATTTGGGTTTCAGCTCCACCCCAACAACTTAAGAATCCAAAACACACTGAGGGGCGCCTGGGTGGCTCAGTCATTAAGCATCAGCCTTCAGCTCAGGTCATGATCCTGGGGTCCTGGGATCGAGACCCACACTGGCCTCCCTGCTCAGCAGGAGTCTGCTTCCCCCTCTCCCACTCCCCCTGCTTGTGTTCGCTCTCCCACTCCATCCCTGTCAAATAAATTTTTTTTTAATTTTTTAAGATTTTTTATTTATTTATTTGACACAGAGAGATCACAAGCAGGCAGAGAGGCAGGCAGAGAGAGAGGAGGAAGCAGGCTCCCCGCAGAGCAGAGAACCCGATGAGGGGGCTCGATCCCAGGACCCTGGGATCATGACCTGAGCCAAAGGCAGAAGCTTTAACCCACTGAGCCACCCAGGCACCCCGAAATAAATAAAATCTTAAAAGCCCACCTCACACTGATTTGAGCCTGTCCGAGCAGGCCCCATGAGTTGGGAAAACAGGTAGGGGAGTGGCAGGTGCTGCCTTTGAGTGACGCCGCACCCCTGTAGCTCCCTTACCATCCCACGTCTCATTCCGCACACCTGTAGCTCCCTTACCATCCCATGTCTCATTCCGTCCCACCTACAGATGGGACGCTGAGCTACAGCATGGCACAGCCGTGCACCCCAGGCTACAGAGAGGGGCTGTGGCAGGTCAGGGGTCCAACAGGAGGCTCCCGCCTCTCACACCTGACCAGAGTTGGCTGGGAAACCCCAAGTCATTTCCTCTTCCAGGACCGAGAAAACAGGGGCTCAGGTCACACAGCAATTAAGACCAGGGCCTCTGCCATCTGTACCCAAAACAAGAGCGTCTACAGAGTTTCCGTGGCCTCTACGCCGTCCAGCAAGTTCCTTCCAGCCTGCACGTGCTGCTCCAGGGCCCCAAAGAAGCGAGGCCTTGCTGCAGCGCTTGCAAGCTCGGGCCACGCGCGGGAGCTCCTGGCCCGGAGCTCCGAGCGGGTGATGCCGTGGCTCCCGGGTGCATGCAGGGGTCATCGGGGGCAGCGAGGGCGGGGCTCTGACCCGTGTACCTCCTCCCTGCACATGAGCACCCCGGCCACTGGAAGGGGTCCGAGACCGCCAGTGGGGCGCCGGGACTGGCGGGGCCGCCAAGGGGCCCGGACCCAGGCGGGAAGAGCCCGGGCAGGCCTACCTCCGGGCGCCCAGCCCCAGTCCCCGCGGTGAGCTCCAGGGGCCGCCCCTTGCAGCCCCGCCGCCACTGCCAACAGCGG